ACACTGCTGCTACCCGCTGTCTATTATCTATGTATAGTCACTTTACCCCTACCTACATGTACAAATTACCTCGACTAACCTGTACCACCGCACATTGACTCGGTACCGGTACCCCCTGTATATAGCCTCGTTATTGTTGTTTTAATGTGTTAAATGTGTTGTTGTTTTAATGTGTTAAATATTTTCTTAACTCTTTCTTGAACTGCGTTGTTGGTTATGGGCTTGTAAGTAAGGATTTCACGGTAAGGTCTACACCTGTTGTATTTGGCTCATGTGACAAATAAAGTTTGATTTGATATCGCTGGCGCCCCGTGAATAAGGCAATGGGCAATAAAGCTGTCTCTCTGGAGGGACGCCAGCCTTCCGAGTGCTCATTGCTAACTGCGCAGTCACACCTCTGTCAGCCGATTCTCTGGAACGCGCCCCATGGTCATGCACCTTTGAGCAGCTCCTACCGGCCCCATTTCTAGCCCATTATGACATTGACCAAAGATGGGTAGTATTTCTGTTACATGTATTTGAAATATGTATTTCCATTACTTCTGGGTAAGTGTATTACACTGGGCTGAACTACACTCCAATGTACAGTTGGAAGTTTACATACACTTAGGTTGGAGTCATTAAAACTTGTTTTTCAACAACTCCACTAATTTATTTTTAACAAACTATAGTTTTGGCATGTCGGTTAGCACATCTACTTTGTGCATGACACAAGTAATTTTTCCAACAATTGTTTACAGACAGATTATTTCACTTATAATTCACTGTATCACAATTCCAGTGGGTTAGAAGTTTACATACATTAAGTTGACTGTGCCTTTAAACAGCTTGGAAAATTCCAGAAAATTATGTAATGGCTTTAGAAACTTCTGATAGGCTAATTGACATCATTTGAGTCAATTGGAGGTGTACCTGTGGATGTATTTCAAGGCCTACCTTCAAACTCAGTTCCTCTTTGCTTGACATCATGGGAAAATCAAAAGAAATCAGTCAAGACCTCAGAAAAATAATTGTAGACCTCCACAAGTCTGGTTCATCATTGGGAGCAATTTCCAAATGCCTGGTACCACGTTCATCTGTACAAACAATAGTACCCAAGTATAAACACCATGGGACCACGCAGCTGTTATACCGCTCAGGAAGGAGACGCGTTCTGTCTCCTAGAGATGAACGTACTTTGGTGCGAAAAGTGCAAATCAATCCCAGAACAACAGCAAAGGACCTTGTGAAGATACTGGAGGAAACAGGTACAAAAGTATCTATATCCACAGTAAAACAAGTCCTATATCGACATAACCTGAAAGGCTGCTCAGCAAGGAAGAAGCCACTGCTCCAAAACCGCCATAAAAAAGCCAGACTAGGGTTTGCAACTGCACATGGGGACAAAGATCATACTTTTTTGAGAAATGTCCTCTGGTCTGATGAAACAAATAATGACCATCGTTATGTTTGGAGGAAAAAGGGGGTCGCTTGCAAGCCGAAGAACACCAATGCAACCGTGAATCACGGGGGTGGCAGCATCATGCTGTGGGGGTGCTTTGCTGCAGGAGGGACTGATGCACTTCACAAAATAGATGGCATCATGAGGAAGGAAAATTATGTGGATATATTGAAGCAACATCTCAAGACATCAGTCAGGAAGTTAAAGCTTGGTTGCAAATGGATCTTCCAAATGGACAATGACCCCAAGCATACTTCCAAAGTTGTGGCAAAATGGCTTAAGGACAACAAAGTCAAGGTATTGGAGTGGCCATCACAAAGCCCTGACCTCAATCCTATAGAAAATGTGTGGGCAGAACTGAAAAAGCGTGTGCAAGCAAGGAGGCCTACAAACCGGACTCAGTTACACCAGCTCTGTCAGGAGGAATGGGCCAAAATTCACCTAACTTATTTTGGGAAAATTGTGGAAGGCTACCCAAAACGTTTGACCCAAGTTAAACAATTTAAAGGCAATGCCACCAAATACTAATTGAGTGTATGTAAACTTCTGACCCACTGGGAATGTGATGAAAGAAATAAAAACGGAATAAATAATTCTCTCTACTATTATTCTGACATTTCACATTCTTAAAATAAAGTGGTGATCCTAACTGACATAAGACAGGGAATTTTTACAGGAATTGTGAAAAACTGAGTTTAAATGTATTTGGCTAAGGTGTATGTAAACTTTCGACTTCAACTGTAATTTGTCACAAGATACTTTCGAGAGCTGTAAAATACTTTTCTATACAATTTTTTTTAGAGCAGTAAAAAATTTTTTGCCCTCTTTCACCCTGCATTGGTATCAGAACTTTGATGGCCCTATGTTGTGATAAATGAGCGTCTGCTAAATGAACTACATGTATATGTAAAAATTAACAATTGCAAAGCATGCTGAGTATTATTCTAATGAGCTCCACACCGAAACAAGGCCAATAATAATACCCAGTGTGCTTTGCAGTTCAATTTGGTACATTTTCATATATACATTTACATTTTGGTCATTTTGCAGACACTCTTATACAGATTGACTTACAGTAAGTGCATTTAACTAATGTAGATAAACAACAAAATATCACAGAATGTAAAAAGTTTCTGTAACCGTTACTGAGAATGTTGTTGCTTTTCGGGCCGGCTACTTGCAAATTAATTTCTATATTTTAAAACACAAAATACATGTATTTGAATTAAATACATTTCAAAATATACAGTAAGTATTTTGTAGTTTATTTTGATACATTGATCTTTATGGTATTTTGTAATTGTATTTTGTAATTGTTGCCCATCCCTGGCATTGACATTAACATGGCCATCCTGCAACCCTCTGTTATGTCTGGGCGCGTTGCCTTTTCCCAGACTTATCGTTTTTTGATTTGTCTGTGCTTAAAGATTTCTCCTTGGCAGCTAGTCTGGTCACACGCTTTCTTTGAGCCCTGGGCATCCCCAAAAGCAAGAGTGTGGACTGTTCTCTTCCGGCTCGCTGTTAAAACGCAGTTTTCCCTGGTATATTTCTCCCTTCTCTGTGGCTTAGGATGACTCTTAGTCGTATCTTGGGAGTCTTTTTGACCTCTTGCCCGCCCAGTGTTTGGGAGTAGTGAACTACATTTTGCAGTAGCTTGGTGGTAGTTGAACTAAATTCAAATCTAGGTAGTGTTTTCAGTAGTCAATAAATGTTTTGCCATGTGTAGCTAAGTACTGAAACGACACACTACTTTTTTTGCAAAAATTACATTAAATATTGGTGAAGTAGGCAATCATTTTTTTTTTTTTCGGCATCAGACCTGCCTAATTCCCACTTGAAACAGTTTTTGTGTTTAATAGACTAAATGACATATTATGTTAACATATGATCCCAAAGTGATCTGTCTTGCAATTTGTAGTCTATGACATTTCAAATTTACATATGATAATTTTTCACAAAGTAGTTTGGATGTAGTGAACTACTTTTTCAAATTAACTTTCGTTAGGACATTTTGTTTCTTCTTCTTAAGGGTATCTTTAGTGTAGCTTAACTTCTTCCACTGTTAAGTAATTGGTTGCTTGGTAAACTATATTTTCAAAGTAGCTTCCCCAACACTGCCCGTCTCCTTCCCCAGAAGAGCATCTCTCCAGCATCTTGCTGGAGGGGAAGAGAGCTTTAGATTACACTGTTATGCTCTCCTTGGTACCTGCTCTCGACAGAGGATGGATACCCTTCTTCTCCTATACCATCTTGTACTGGGATGGTTCAGACGTTTGTTATTGGCTACTTCAAGTTTTGAGACTTTCGGATCAAAATTCCATTTGTGAAATTCACTATATGTACAAAAGTCTGTGGACAGCCCTTGAAATTAGTGGATTCGGCGATTTCAGCCACACCTGTTGCTGACTGGTGTATAAAATCGAGCACACAGCCATGCAATCTCCATAGACAAACGTTGGCAGTAGAATGGCCTTACTGAAGAGCTCAGTGACTTTCAACGTGGCACCGTCATAGGATGCCACCTTTCCAACAAGTTAGTTTGTCAAATTTCTGCCCTGCTATAGCTGTCCTGGTCAACTGTAAGTGCTGTTATATTGAAGTGGAAACGTCTAGGAGCAACAACGGCTCAGCCGCGAAGTGGTAGGCGACACAAGCTCACAGAATGGGACCGCCGAGTGCTGAAGCGCATGGTGCGTAAAACTGTTTGTCGTCGGGAGCTTCATAAAATGGGTTTCCATGGCCGAGCAGCCGCACAAAAGCCTAAGATCTCCATGCACAATGCCAAGCGTCTGCTGGAGTGTTGTAAAGTTCTCTGGAGTGATGAATCACACTTCACCCTCTGGCAGTCCGACGGACGAATCTGCATGGTGCAGATGCCAGGAGAACGCTACCTGCACTAATGCATAGTGCCAACTGTAAAATTTGGTGGAGGAGGAATAATGGTCTGGGGCTGTTTTTCATGGTTTGGGCTATGCCCCTTAGTTCCAGTGAAGGGAAATATTAACTCTACAGCATACAACGACATTCTAGACGATTCTGTCCTTCCAACTTTGTTACAACAGAAGGAAGGCCCTTTCCCGTTTCAGCATGACAATGCCCCCGTGCACAAAGTGAGGTCCATACAGAAATGGTTTGTCGAGATCGGTGTGGAAGAACTTGACTGGCCTGCACAGAGCCCTTACCTCAACCCCATCGAACACCATTTGGGATGAATTGGAACGGCGTCTGCGAGCCAGGCGTAATTGCCCAACATCAGTGTCCGACTTTACTAATACTTTTGTGGCTGAATGGAAGCAAGTCCCCGCAGCAATGTTCCAACATCTAGTGGAAAGCCGTCCCAGAAGAGTGGAGGCTGTTATAGCAGCAAAGGAGGGACCAACTCCATATTAATGCCCATGATTTTGGAATGAGATGTTTCGCGAGCAGGTGTCCACATACTTTTGGTCATGTAGTGTACTTAACTCATAATATCAGAGAACCTGGGTAATGTAAATAACCTTGAGATTTACAACATTCTGAAAATAAAAAAATTGACAGAAATCTATGTCCATAGACTCACCTCAGGGGTGGAACGACAGCATTGGCAGACAGCTCTGCAGGCGAATGACGAGACACAGATGGACACTATAAACTCCAGCACGGAGAAAACAGCCAGAACACCTGAAATTCCCTGGGACCTGACCTATAGACAGAGAGGAACAGGAAACAGCAGTTAACTACACCTCACTGCCATTTTGGAGCAATTATGAACCCTTTGTGAACTTTGACTCCAGTTTCGATGTGGACTAAAAATAACTATAAACTAACTCAATAGCAGTTATCTACCTTACTATTGCTTGCATGTTGGAGTTGTCACATATAGGCATAATTTAAATGAGCCTAATAAAAAGCATCCAACAGTACAATACAAAAGAATATAGATGATAAATACCCCTTTATCAATTTACAAATATCTCCTGACCAATGAAAGTAAAAAAGGAATAAGTATTTGGTATATACCCAATACTGTTGACAGACATAGTATGGAGGGTAGGATGAAGGATTGTCTGGATAGTAACAGGAGTAGAGGATCCCAGCACCGTCTAAAGAATGGAGGATGATGCCAGTAAGAGCAGTAACCGTGGCAACAACATTCATTACCAGGGAGCCATTCACCTAAGGGACAGAGAGCAGAAAGAGGACATGGGAATGTCTGGTTGTGGATGAACATTTCTGAGAACAAAATGCAATACCGAATTCAGTGTGTTGTTGTTCCTTATAATCGTTATTACAATTCTTTAAAGGTGCACAGTTAATGCCAGTGCCCACCCCACTGCTTGTGTCTTGGGAGGAAAACAAGCAGGATGAATGAAAACATGAAGGCCTAGTGTACAGTAGATTCTATGTCTTCAAATAGAGTGGAACTTTATGAATCAAAAGCCTAAACTTTATTGAGGAAAAAAAATATTGATACTGACCAGACATTTGTTCAGTTTGTTGTCAGCGGCAACAGTGAGAGAGCCTGCAATTACATACTGGGAACAAGGAAGAGATTATTCAACTCTACGTCCTAAATGGCTCCCTATTCCCTCCATAGTGCACTATATAGGGAATACTGTGCCATTTGGGACACACATATTTCTACTGTATGACCAAAGTTCAAATTCAAGTTGAATTACACCCACATAGAATTCCATACAAACAGAAATGCATGAGTGTATAATTGGCATAGGCCTATCCAAATACATATACGTTGATAAAAGTCATTAGTTAAGACAAGTCATTATTTATAAAGCATTACCTCAAATTAAATATATATATTTTTTTAAGTGACATGATTTAACTATGAGGACGTTTTGTTTTGCATCCAGGCAGACAGGAAATGTAAGATAGGTTTGTTAGACAGAACAGCTCACTCACAATGATAGATCCCCAGACAAATATTCCACTGACTACTCCAATATTGTCCAACATTGGTGCTGTAGCCATCACGATTCCTGTCAACAGCATCATCAAACCAATCATGATCTGTACGGTCTGTGAGAGAAAAAGAAAGTACAAAGCAGGAAATTCATTTTTCTCTTCCAATACGTTCAACCAAAATGCTTGTTTTTTATTTCAAAATAATTTAAAAAAAGAAATTCTTACCCCAAGAGCTTTTGGATGCCCCGCCCGGAAACTTCCCAGCGCTGAGTAGACCGTCTGTCCCAAACAGTGAGGGGCAGAAGCAACCCCCGCGACCCCCATCTCGTTTCCAGTGGGGTGTACATGGGTGATGACCACCACCCCGTTAGTGGTGGTTGTTACAGAGCTGGACATCTTCACAGAGGAGGGAAGGATGTTTGTAGTACAGTAAGAGGTGATCTGACTGATTGTTGTGCGTCAAACTTTATACTTTACCTGGGACTTCCTGGTAATAATGTACCTGTGACTGTCATGGTTAACAAGTGTGTCAGCCACACATTAGACTTTGAACTCTCTCCATTGAATATAGGCTGTGTGTCATAATGACATGTGGCGCTTTGAGGTGGACAATCACCTGTCTCGATCAATGAGAGAAGGCTAGAAATAGATTATATGGCGGCGTACACTGTTGGATTACTTGAGTGGTAGGAACCTGTTTGAGTGGTTTAATCTGTTGCTGTTGAAACAAAGAGGAGGAAGTTGTTGTGACTTTAAGGTTCACCATAACCAGTGGCGATTTTAGCACCTAATCTTGGTGGGGCAAAAAATATAATAATGTGGGATGCATGCCAGCAAAGCCACTACACAACACAACACTAAACAATACATTAATTACACTATAACGGTGACAAACGGTGCTCACAAACTGTTAGGGTCTACATAAAGCAGTCCCAACAGCAGTCCCAACACCTTACCACAGCTACACCTGGCTATCAGCGGAGCTTTGTCTGGCAGCGAAACAGTTCATTCAGCCTCATTTACTGCCTTTAAAAAATATATAGCTGATATGGTTGACTTGCTTAAACAAATGTGGGTTCTACTGACAATTGTGATGTACAAACTATGGCATAAGGGGACGACAAGCGGACGACAATCCATAATTTCGATTAAGACATTAATGAGCGAGCTAGGACAGACGTAGTAAATATAATGATTTGTTCAGCACTTTTGAAATGAACAGCGACAGAATTCAGAACATGGGCCGTCTTACAGTGTTCTCCCTGTACACCAAGTCAGAACCGTGGGATAAATAAAGGGGGCATATAAGCAGACAATGAAGGCTCTTACAATATTCGATGATTATATTTCTCTAAAACAGGTTATAGGCTACATGTGCACCACCAAGTCAGAACAATAGGCGAAATTACGAGGGGAAAATATACCAAATTATTAGGTTGAGACACAGGGGCTACTAACAGCTTACTACACAACATACACTTAGTATTACTTTCTTAGCTACAGTATACATAGCTCCCTGGCATATTACATAATTTCTGCAGCAGCATACAATACATTTTTGGACTCATCTTGTTGTGCTGTGCTCACTTGAACAGGAAGGTGGCGCGGCGGTTTGTCATCTTTGTCATCAGTCTGGCATTCTCTGGATTTATGTTGCTTTCAAGACAACTGGGAACTCTGAAAAAAACAAGGTTGAATCATGATGACGTGTGATCTTCAGGTCGTAGCTCTAGAAAGAGGCCCGAGTTCCAGATTTACAATTCCGAGTTGGATGACCGTTCAAAACGTATTTTCCCAGGCGGAGCTCATTTATCCCGAGTTCCCAGTTGTCTTGAACTCACTGAAGTCAGATTTTGCAGTTCCGAGTTAAGTTGTTTTGAGCGCGGCACAAATCATGCTTCATTGACAGCATGGCCAATGTTGAATGTTTATCATTTTAAACTTGGAAAAGAGACCCTTAATCCCAGATTTGGGACCACACAGCCACTCCACTGAACAGCAGGCTAGTGATTGCTTTGCAATGCTTGCAGTTAACCACTGATTCCTTCCAAACCATTCATTGCTGAAAATAGCAATTTCCAACTTGTTGTGTAATGTTTATGTCCAATGGCTGATGAGCACCGATATGTTTTATCTATAATTTCTCATTATTATTTCTCTTCATATGACAAGGATTAAAAAGGATTTGCCAGTAGATTGTCATCTTGATTAATGATGATGATTGCTAGCTAAGATTTTGAAAGTATAATGTTGACATGATCAGTGCAACGGCGCAAATAGAGAACGTTACCAACACCTATGCTCCGTATTTTCCGTTGGCTGCCCCACCACCACAAAAAGCACTGAGCTAGGCTGAAACACTTGCATTTTGGAGCTGCCTTACTCAATAAAGCAAAAAAGAGACCATGTTTGTATGCGGCTTTATTAACTAAATGATTTGTTATTGTATTTTTTTTTTTTTTTACTGATTGATTGATAAATACAATTATCTTATCAACCACAGCTGAATCAAATGATAGACATCTTGCAGTGATGGTTTTGTAAATGGATGTGCAGTCTTTATTATTGTCTAGTGGCGGTATAAACTAACATCAAATCCCTGTAAATCATCATGGATAACGTCATCATGGTCCTCCAGACAGGTGTGTACAGCCTGCAGGACGGTTTTCAGGCGACGGTCCAGCGCGGAGAGGTGTTGTACAGAGAGGAGGGGGGCCACACCCTCCAGGGGGTCCTGGGACAGAGACTCCCTCATGACATCACTCAGACGGAAGCCCGGGAGGGACAGGAGACGCAGACGCATCAGAGTGGAACGACGGATCCTGAGAAAGAGAGAGAGATTTGGGAGAGAGAGAAGAAAACGATATAGAGAAGGAGGACAAGGAGGACAAGGAGAGAGAGAAGAGAGAGAAGGAAAATATTGAGAGAGAAGGAAAAGAGAGAGAGAGATAGAGAGAGAGAAGGAGGAAAGGGAGAAAGAGAAGGAAGAGAGGGGGAGAGATGTCATCTTGCACTTTTTCTCTGATGCAGTTGTCCAGATCTTTATACAAGCTGATAGTTTTACCTGCAACACTGTCGTAAGGGCACCAATATGGAGGGTTCATCCACAGAATGACGCCCAAACCTAAAAAGAACATAATTTCCACAATATTACATAACTGTAATACCGGTATGTATAAACTACAACAACTTCAACATATGCAGTGCCGACGCATAATTTAGGGCAAGTGAGGCACAGCCCCACCACTGTCCAGCAGATGGCGCTGCTTTGCATGTAATTCTGGCATTATTTCATGTCACAATATTATATCTTATCAGTTAGCAAACAATGGAAACAAAATAATTTATTGAGTTAATATAGCAGCATACTCGACTCCCTGTCATATTATTGTTTTAGTAAGGCAGCTCCAGAATGCAGCTGTTTTAGCCTTGCTCATGTGCCTTCTGTGGCGGAGGGGCAGCCAGAGAAAGCACAGAGCGTAGGTGTCATTGATCTTCTCTGGTTGCGCGTGATTGGCTCAGGGTGATGTCACTCACAACACCGCAGCACCTACTGGGATAGCTCACTGAGGGCCATGCAGCTTCTGCCCCCTTGGGTGCTACCAATATAGTTAAATTGGCAGTGCCTGTCCAAGAAGGCTCAAGGTCATTGGCCACAGATAAGTCAACGGCTTTTCTCCGGTAACTTTGATTGGACTGATGTGTGTCAACTTCATTGTTTACCACGTCTTCTAGCCAGCTGAAAAGTTATCATGAATCATGTTGACTATCTCCTAGCAAATCATTTTCAAACTTGATACTCACGCCCTCCCGTTGTCTAGGTGCAGCAGGAAAGTGTCATTCCCAAACTTCTCAAAAGTCTCGTAGTGATGTCTGTCCATATTACCTTTGTAGGAATTATAGCAAGATAATAGTTTATTGTTCTCTGTCTATTCGAAATCGGTTCCACATTATCAATGGACTTAAACCTTGGCACATTTGTAATATGGTTGTGTGGGGAAATGTTCAGAACAGGGTGTCATTCTTATGGTATGTATTACTTCAGTGATTCAATAAAAAAACTATATTGTTCACAAAAAAAGATGAGAAAAATAAAGGTATTGTGTTGAATTGTTACTCATTCAAGAATATAAGAATGACTGAAGTAGTAACAGTAGTAGAAGCTGTGTAGTTGAGTGTGCTTACTGACTCATGAGGAAGTCCAGAATGACCATGTCAATTAGATCCACCAGTCTGGTGCCTTGGCTGTATGGAGGAGTCTGTTTCACTGTGTCACAGTAGTCTGGGTTCTTCTGCCATCTGAAACAGTAGCGGCTGCATGTGATGTATGGACTACAACATGCTTTAGTCAAATGCATGGCTTCTTCCCAGTGGAGGACAGTATGATACTACTACACATTATTACATTGCGTTCATGATTGATTAGTTGAATTCTATCAATGCAATTCAAACCATCGGTTTGCTTTCTACTGTATATAACCACTAATACAGATATTTACTTCACATGGTTTCTTTGCACCCCCTCCCATAGTTAGAGACCCCCAGTCAAGGGGCCCGTTTCGGTACCCACTACCCACGGTGCCAGTTTGGTGCGGCTGTAGGAGCGTCTCCAAGGGGACCTCCAGGAGCGTCTGGGGGCCAGGGAGAGGTCAGGCAGCATGGAGGCCAGGGACACCTCCAGGACCTGGGGTCGACCACACACTGGGTTCTCTGTGGAGCAGTAGTATTCACACTGGCCGTGGAAACACAAATTACCCACTGGTAGGGGGTTGGAGAGAGAGAGAGAGGGAGGGTTGGCCGACAAAATGGAAGTAGTAGGCCTACAGTGGACAGTTGTTGCCAAACATTTGGGGTCGTAACCCACCTAAAAGCATTTGGAGCTTTTTCTTGTGACCAGTCCTAAAACGAAATGGAAAGTAAACTGTAGCCCACCAGTGCAACCCAACCAACCATTTGGGAAACTCTGGACTAGCACAAAGCGCAAGCCACTATACACATACAAGCTTAATAACAGAGAAGGAGGGACATTTGGTTGCTATCTGTGCTGATTGGACACATCAGGAGAGTTAGATTTGATTATGAAAGCTGATTGGACCAACCGCCACGCACCAGGAGAGGTGAAGAAGGTTCTGGAGAGTTTGTGGTCTGTGGTGATATCTCTGATCTCCGTGGTTAAGTTGATGAGTCTACCTACCACTGGAGGGATTCTATGGAAACCCAGCAACCTGAGAGAGGACACACACACACACACACACATACACATAGAGAGAGAGAGAGAGAAATCAGTGGTAGCCTTTAGTAGTTTGTTTCTCCTCTTTCATTTGACACACAGATGAATCTCAGATGGGAGGTCCATATTTTATTGTTTTCACCTGTCTAGGTGGAAGGCAGCAATCTCTGCGTTGTGTCTCTCAAAGTCAGAGAAGTAGAATAGGTTGAAGTCTGTCTCTGCATCTCTCTCCTGCCTGCATAAAACACACACAGGATTATGTTTTTTTCCCCTTCAAAATAAGATTACTGTGACTGATACAATAAAGTTGTATTGTTGTGTTGTATTGTATAGTATCATATCGCATTGTAAGTCATATCGTATATCATAATGTAGTATATCGTATTGTATATCATATTGTATTGTATATGATATTGTTCTTTGATGAATGTGCCTTTCCTATTGTCCAGGCTCAGCTCTGTCAGCTGAGGATGCTCTTAAATGCTGATAAGTCAAAGTTGATGGTTTTCACGAAATCTAAGATGAAACCCGCCAGGCATAATGGGACCCATCTCGTCCAAAAAGTTGACTCAAGTTTGCCAAAAAGCACCTGGATGATCATCAAAACTCTTGGAAGAACGTTCTATGGACAGATGATTCAAAAGTATAACTTTTTGGACGACATGGTTCCAGTAATGCCTGGCGAAAACCAAAGCATGGTGGTGGTGTGATGGTTAGGGGATGCTTTGCTGCCTCAGGACCTGGACGACTTGCCTTAATAGAAGGAACCATGAATTCTGCTCTGTATCAGAGAATTCTACAGGAGAACGTCAGACCATCCATCTGTGAGCTGAAGCTGAAGCGCAGCTGGGTCATGCAGCAAGACAATGATCCAAAACACACAATCAAGTCTACATGAAAATTGCTAAAAAGCAACAAATTGGAAATTTTGGAATGGCCTAGTCAAAGTCCAGACCTAATCCCAATTGAGATGTTGTGGCAGGACTTGAAACGAGCAGTTCATGCTTGAAAACCCACACGTCACTGAGCAGTTCTGCATGAAAGAGTGGGCCAAAATTCCTCCACAGCAACGTGAGAGACTGATCAACAACTACAGGAAGCATTTGGTTGGAGTCATTGCAGCTAAAGGTGGCACAACCAGTTATTAAGTGTAAGGGGGCAATTACTTTTTCACACAGGGGAATTGGGTGTTGCATAACTTTGCTTATGAAATAAATATGTAATTGTTGTGTTATTTGTTCACTTATGTTCCCTTTATCTAATATTAGGTTTTGGTTGAAGATCTGATAACATTCAGTATCACAAACAAAGTAGAGAAATTTGGAAAGGGGGCAAATACTTTTTCATAGCACTGTACATTGTCCAGCTGATTAATGACAATTATCACCTACGCTCACAGTACTGTATCTCCTTGACTGTGCCTCATGCCTGTGGAGAGCTAGGAAAAAAAGCGTTCCAGTACTCTGCCCCCTCTACTTTGAATGAGCTTCACAAATACTTGAAACTACAGGAGTTGTCTATTTAAATGATTTTAAAGCTAGGGTAAAAACTATGGTGTAAAATGATTTAGGGGGCTGTCAATGTTTTGACCCCTAGTTGAAACCCTCCTCCTAAAACCAATGTGCCTGTTAAATGTGTTAACTGATGTTTTTAAACTGTAGTGCTTTGTGTTTTATGTTGTACATGTCGAAACTTTGTGTGCTGCTTTTTTGGCCAGGTCTCTATTGCAAAATATATTTTTAATCTCAATGAGACTAACCTGGTAAAATAAAGGTAAAATAAATAAATATTGTATATTGTATCATATATCATATCGTGGATTCTCACCTCATGGGTTTGAGGAGGGCCTGTCCGTAGTTGGGGAATGACATGATCAGCTTAAGCTGGGTGCCCCCACTCTTCTGCACTGAAACACACATAACAGACAATGCACCAACGTCACCATAATAATCACACACCAGTATGCAGACCCTCAGAACACACAGACATAACACATTTTACATTTTAGTCATTTAGCAGACGCTCTTATCCAGAGCGACTTAAAACACATGAAAGTCACAGGGTCTCCACAACGTTCAAAGGAAAATACACCATAGGTAATTGTCATTGACTGCACTGATGGTCTTATATTGGTAATAGTGCAGTATTTCCAGTGAATTTTACATAAATGCAGTTACCCCAGTTCTCCACAGGGAGTCCTCATTACGTAAAGTACAGAATGTGGCTGAACATCAAAAAACTGTCTGGCGTCAGTGGTGGTGAGTCTAGAATCTAGGGTCTTTAGAGAGGAGGAGGAGGAGGAGGAGGAAGATGAGGAGGAGTATATAAAACGTGGCTATGGGCCAGCCCACACACAAGCTGATTATTGTGTAATCTTTTATGCTCAACACAATCTCCATACAGTATTCAAAGTGTGTGTGTATGCGTGTGTTTGTGTGTGAGCATATGTTTGTGTGTGTGTATATGTGTGGGTGTGTGAGTGGGATTTCTTATGATCAGTGCAGGATTATAATGACAGACCTCAGAACAAAAGATCAGAGGAGCTGGAGATTTATTTACGACATTCGATTATCTGGCTTTCAAGTTTCTGCTCTGATTGTTTCCTCACTCTCATCCATTTGCTGGCGTTCTAGTTTGGTGTAATCACTTTGTGTATTTTGCAGTTTAAATACTTTTTTCAGTGGTTTTAGATTTTATCCTTACAGTTTATGGTTGATTGATTAGTGTTTAAGAATTGATTTTGGCTTTTGTTTGTTTCTTTAGATTGTGTGTTTAATTATTATACTCACACACACACACACACACACACACACACACACACACACACACACACACACACACACACACACACACACACACACACACACACACACACACACACACACACACACAAAACTCCCGCCCCCCCCTTCCCCTTCCCCTTACACCAAAAAATGCTGGGTTAAAAACAACCCAATTTGGGTTATTTGGTAACCAAGCGCTGGGTAAATATTGGACAGAACACACATTGGGTTAGTTTGACCCAGCCAGTTGGGTTGCGTGAATATGCATTATACAAACATGGGTTAATTTTACCATCAGTTGGTTTTTTTAACCATTAGTTGGGATGACATAGCAGCTCCATAGGTTATTTTATTAGGGAGGTGGGTTTCAGATAATTATTTTTGGCCACCTGTAAGAGTAAATGTAATTCCTATTCATCATGTTAAGATTGTACACCGCAAATTTCTTTTTTTTGCACATGACATATTATAATATAAAATTCATAACATTATTATTGACATTACCCAACATATGCATAGGGTCTTGAGGATCTTAACAATACAACAAAGCAGATGAACCGGAATTACATTTACTCTCACAGGTGGCCAAAAAGAACAATCTGAAAGACACGCCCCTGCCTCTAGTCTTCTGAGCTCATCCACTGAGTCATATCTCAATAAACCAGCATAAATAACCCATCACCCAGCATCAATAACCCAGCAGTTCTTAAAGAAAACAACCCATCTAAGTGACCCAACGCCTGCAACCCAGCAGTTATTTTTTTAGAGTGCACGCTACTTCCTTGTTTACATGTGACAGATAAACAAATGGATCCCAACTAAGGCTTCTGAACAGTCTCATAACAGACAGGATTTGAGGGCCATCAGACAATGTTTTACAGCCTCCCAGGGTAATCTCTTCATCCACTGTAATGCCAACTCTTGTGTGTGTGTGTGTGTGTGTGTGTGTGTGTGTGTGTGTGTGTGTGTGATGTCTCGCTAATGCTCCTCAAGGAAGTTAGTGCTCCTGAAGGAAGTTAGAGGTCGTTTCGCGAGCCAATGCTAACTAGTGTTAGCGCAATGACTGGAAGTCTATGGTATCTGCTAGCATGCTAGCAGGCTAGTTAGCATTGGCTCATGAAACTACCTCTAACTTCCTTCATACTGGACACAGAGACATAAAAATGGAATCCAGCAGTTCACCTGACTCTGGGAAAGTACACAAATGGCCTCACTGCCAAAATCCTGAAGTATCCCTTTAATTTATACTGCTTTTTTGATTAAACTAAGCCAGAAATATTGTAATTCAAACACGACTGCCTGCAGTACAGTAGCCTGTGGCACCACTGTAGCTTGCTTTTACACAGTTGGGTTAAATTAATGAGCCATTAAATGGTGGTGGTACTCTTTTATCTTTCAACCCCAAGGGGAAGCCCAACTTCCTCAAACATGATGATGACTGTGTTACTAAGCAGAGTTGAGGTCAACTCTGTATCAATCAACATGAACTGGACATGGAGTGGACATGGAGTAACCTACACTGAACAAAAATATAAATGCAACATGCAACAATTTCATAGATTTGCAGTTACAGTTCATATAAGGAAATGAGTCAATTTAAATGCATTAATTTGGCCCTAATCTATGGATTTCACATTACTGGGAATACAGATATGCATCTGTTATGCATCTGTTACAAAAAAGGTAGGGGCGTGGATCAGAAAACCAGTTAGTATCTGGTGTGACCACCCTTTGCCTCATGCAGCGTGACATCTCCTTCGGATAAAGTTAATCAGGCTGTTGATTGTGGCTTGTGGAATGTTGTTCCACTCCTCTTCAATGGCTGTGGGAAGTTGCTGGAAATTGGCGGGAACTGGAACATACTGTCGTACACGTCGATCCAAAGCATCCCAAACATGCTCAATGGTGAGATTGCAGGCCATGGAAGAACTGTGACATTTTCAGCTTCCAGGCATTGTGTACAAATCCTTGCGACATGGGGCCTTGCATTATCATGCTGAAACATGAGGTGATGGTGGGGGATGAATGGCACGACAATGGGCCTCAGGATCTCGTCACGGTATCTCTGTGCATTCAAATTGCCATCAATAAAATGCAATTGTGTTTGTTGTTCATACCTTATGCCCATACCATAAACCCACCGCCACCACAGGGCACTCTGTTTACAATGTTGACATCAGCAAACCGCTCACCCACATGACGCCATACATGCTGTCTGCCATCTGCCCAGTACAGTTGAAACCGGGATTCATCTGTGAAGAGCACACTTCTCCAGCATGCCAGTGGCCATTGAAGGTGAGCATTTGCCCACTGAAGTTGGTTACGACACCGAACTGCAGTCAGGCCAAGACCCTGGTGAGGACGACAAGCACGCAGATGAGCTTCCCTGAGACGGTTTTTGAGTGCAGAAATTCATCAGCTGTCCGGGTGGCTGGTCCCAGACGATCCCGCAGGTGAAGAAGCCAGATGTGGAGGTCCTGGGCTGGCATGGTTACACGTGGTCTGTGGTTGTGAGGCCGGTTGGACATACTGCCAAATTCTCTCAAATAACGATGGCATGCTGGTAGAGAAATTAACATTCAATTCTCTGGCAACAGCTCTGGTGGACATTCCTGCAGTCAGCATGCCAATTGTAAAACTTGAGACATCTGTGGCATTGTGTTGTGTGACAAAACTGCACATTTTAAAGTGGCCTTTTATTATCCCCCAGCACAAGGTGCACCTGTGTAATGATCATGCTGTTTAATCAGCTTCTTGATATGCCACACATTTTAGGTGGATGGATTATCTTGGCAAAGGAGAAATGCTCACTAACAGGGATGTAAACAAATGTGTGCACACAATTTGAGAGAAATAAGCTTTTTGTGAATATGGAACATTCTGGGATCTTTTATTTCAGCTCATGAAACATGGGACCAACACTTTACATGTTGCATTTATATTTTTGTTCAGTGTACAATGCCGTTCCTGAATTATACAGACCACTAGCCATAACCCTAACCCTAGCTTCATGTCCACACCCCAGCTCAACATTAACCCTAGCCATAACCTGAACCTTAGCTTCACCATGTCCACACCCCGGCTCAACCCTCTCACCTGCGCTGAGGATGCGTTGTGTGGCCATCTGTTGAATCACCTCGGCAACGCTAGGGTCATTCCTGTCATACAGCTCCCAGCGAGAGATCCCAAGGTGGTACCTCAGCCAGGGGGGGTGGGTCTCTGCACTTCTTGTCCAATTAGCTCGGTCATAGCCATCCTGCTCGCTGTCACTCTGCCTATCAGGAAATTAGCAGGGGAAGATGGATGGGGAAACTGGCCAATTAAGCAATGAGTATCACAAATGTATGAGAAAAGTAATATGCTATGACAGAATGATATACTTTGTTGTCATGTTGTTTTTTCCTCTTACATTTTTATTCTTATCAGTTGTTATCAGTAGTCTTCCACACCTCTTTCTCTCACTCACCACTCACTATCTTCACTGCTTTTGTCACTGTCCTCCTCCTCATCTTCCTCCTCACTGTCCTCCCCCTTCTTCTTTGGCTTCAACTTCAGCAGCCAATCGTCTTCCTGCAGATGTGGGCGTGGCAGGTTGTACAGCGGGTGGCTGAATAGGGCCTCCAGTTTGGAGCGACTGCTGACCTGTTGGCTCACTTTGGTGGCCATTTTGGTTACAATCAGCTTTTTGTCCTTCTCCTTCTCATTGATCATGTTGAATGAGGCCATTTTGGTAAAGTCTCCATTCATGAGACTTGTTGGTAGTTTGTGTGAGCTGCTTTGTGAGGAAATGGAGTGAGATCTCCCCTGTTGTCCATGGGGACTAGTTCCAGGAAAAGACAAAGAGGAGGAGGAGGAGGGGGGGATAACGCAGGATGTTTGGAGGATGGAGAGACAGAAGAGGGCCAGGATGAGGTGGAGAGCCAGGGACAGACATGCCAATACCAGACAGACAGAATGAGAGAGACGACCCACGCCCTGCCTCGCCATGCTGAGAGAGAGTGAATAGAAACTTCAATTCACATTGCCTCCAAATATAATATTCAAAACTCTGAAGAAGGCAGTTGTTGAGTCACGAGTCATGACAGATTAACAGGCATAAAGGAAACAAGGGGAGATGTAACAGCGACATAGCCTGGCAAGCAGGCGGACAGACAGCTAGCCAGCTATCCAGCCAGCCAGCCAGACAGTGTTCCTGGTGCTCCAGAAAGAGACAGACAGACAGCTAGCCAGCCGCCAGACAGCCAGCCAGCTATCCAGCCAGCCAGCCAGCATGTATTCCTGGTGCTCCAGAAACACCTCTAACAATCTCCTCTCCCTATCAAAGCACAGACACAATGTGATTCCAGTCAGCCCTGAGAATCAAGCACCGCTAAAGAGAATCAATTTACTATTGAAGGCCCACTGCTCCAACATTCACAGTATGAAGCAGCAGCAGGCTGGCTAATTACTTACTTTGTTTTTCACAATGTGCCAAGAAGTTGTAAGACTCTCTCTCTCTCTCTCTCTCTTCCTCTCTCTCTCTGACTCCTTAATAAATGTGACAGGGAAAAATGACATTTGTAGTATCTTGTCGTTTTGTCAATTTTTTCCCCTTTCTCTCCCTGACAGACAGCTGATAGTGATCCTGTTATCTGTGTTGTCGCGCTAGTTCAAACAGAACAGAGGGAGGAGCCAGGTCAGAGTGACCTGGATGGATGTTACAGTGAGGAAGGGACATTCATACCCTTTAACCCTTTATTTTAGGATCAATGTTTCTGTGAACACCAGATAGTTGCAATAGAAATACATATTGTAATGCATAATTGTAATGGCTCTCATTCTCTATTTTCAGCCTCATTAGTCTACAGCCACAGCCCTCTGTCTACTGAGCTTGCATCCCAAATGGCACCCTATTCCCTATATAGTGCACTACTTTGACCAAGGCCCTCTCTCCCTCCAGACACAGACACATGCACGCATGCACACACACACATACACACACATACGCGAACACACACGCACACACACACACACACACACACACACACACACACACACACACACACACACACACACACACACACACACACACACATACATACAGTGCCTTGCAAAAGTATTCATCCCCCTTGCCGTTTTTTTCCTATTTTGTTGCATTACAACCTGTAATTTAATTGATTTTTATTTGGATTTCATGTAATGGACATACACAAAATAGTCCACATTGGTGAAGTGAAATGAAAAAAATTCTAAAAAATAAATAACTGATAAGTGGTGCGTGCATATGTATTCACCCCCTTTGCTATGAAGCCCCTAAATAAGATCTGTTGCAACCAATTACCTTCAGAAGTCACATAATTAGTTAAATAAAGTCCACCTGTCTGCAATCTAAGTGTCACATGATCTCAATATATATACACCTGTTCTGAAAGGCCCCAGAGTCTGCAACACCACTAAGCAAGGGGCACCACCAAGCAAGCAGCACCATGAAGACCAAGGAGCTCTCCAAACAGGTCAGGGACAAAGTCGTGGAGAAGTACAGATCAGGGTTGGGTTATAAAAGAATATCTGAAACTTTGAACATCCCACGGAGCACCATTAAATCCATTATTAAAAAATGGAAAGAATATGGCACCACAACAAACCTGCCAAGAGAGGGCCGCCCACCAAAACTCACGGACCAGGCAAGGAGGGCATTAATCAGAGAGGCAACAAAGAGACCAAAGAATACCCTGAAGGAGCTGCAAAGCTCCATAGCGGATATTGGAGTATCTGTCCATGGGACCACTTTAAGCCGTACACTCCACAGAGCTGGGCTTTTTGGAAGAGTGGCCAGAAAAAAGCCATTACTTGAAGATAAAAATAAGCTAACACGTTTGGTGTTCGCCAAAAGCCATGTGGGAGACTCCCCAAACATATGGAAGAAGGTACTCTGGTCAGATAAGACTAAAATTGAGCTTTTTGGCCATCAAGGAAAACGCTATGTCTGACGCAAACACAACATCTGTCATCACCCCGAGAACACCATCCCAACAGTGAAGCATGGTGGTGGCAGCATCATGCTGTGGGGATGTTTTTCATTGGCAGGGACTGGAAAACTGGTCAGAATTGAAGGAATGATGGATGGCGTTAAATACAGGGAAATTCTTGAGGGAAACCTGTTTCAGTCTTCCAAAGATTTGAGACTGGGATGGAGGTTCACCTTCCAGTAGGACAATGACCCTAAGCATACTGATAAAGCAACACTCGAGTGGTTTAAGGGGAAACATTTACATGTCTTGGAATGGCCTAGTCAAAGCCCAGACCTCAATCCAATTGAGAATCTGTGGTATGACTTAAAGATTGCTGTACACCAGCGGAACCCATCCAACTTGAAGGAGCTGGAGCAGTTTTGCCTTGAAGAATGGGCAAAAATCCCAGTGGCTAGATGTGCCAAGCATATAGAGACATACCCCAAGAGACTTGCAGCTGTAATTGCTGCAAAAGGTGGCTCTACAAAGTATTGACTTTAGGGGGGTGAATAGTTATGCACACTCAAGTTTTCTGTTTGTTTCACACACAAAAATATTTTGCATCTTCAAAGTGGTAGGCATGTTGTGTAATCAAATGATACAAACCCCCCAAAAATCCATTTTAATTCCAGGTTGTAAGGCAACAAAATAGGAAAGATGCCAAGGGGATGAACATTTCGCAAGCCACTGTATACACACACACACACACACACACACACACACACACTCAGCTTCACATGTTTGTAGAGAGTTTTGTAGTAGCATACTGTAGTAGTATTACATGTCTCTTCTGACTTCACAAAGCACCGATGGGCACAGACCAGATCAAATATTCGTACTCCTTCTCTCCTCTTCTCTCAGCTTCATCCATCTCTCCTCAATTCCCCCATTTCCTTTTACCTTCCCTCCAGCTCTCTTACCTGCTCATAAATGCATTGCTTCATCTCCCTCTATCTCTTTAATTCCTTCCCTCCAACCCTGGTGATTTCCTGGTGGGGACACTTTATGCCTCAACATGCTGTACAAAATTGTTGTTAGTGAAACACCATAGCTATGAGAGAAATTAGATGCATAATGCATTTCATGGTACTAATAGGCTGCTCCCTATAGATGTTCAAAGATTCTTTTTAATATGAGGCATTTTGTACGGAAAGTGATCAAACAAAAATATGTTGCTTTATTGTTTATTAATTGGTGTATGTATGCTTGTAAAATGCACTTATAATGATGATACATTAAAACAATGTTGTTGTGTTTTCTCAGTGTCTCTCTCTCTCTCTCTCTCTCTCATACACACACACACACACACACACACACACACACACAAACAGAGACAGACATACACACAGATCAAAGCTTCAAAGACCGTCCTGTTTCCCTCAGAGCAGTTAAAGCTTAATGTAGGTTGCTTGGAAACGACCCAGAATTCTCACCATAATTGAAGAGTCTGTAACTTCAAACCAACCAGATGGTGAATCTGTAAGGTGTAGATCTGGACTAAAAAGAAAGGCATGGTACAATAACAACGTTGACGCAGTCGACTAATTTGTTGCACCTCAGAGACCAGGCAGACTTACTTATACAGTGTTGAGACAGAGAGGAAGAGAGGAGAAAGAGAGGGAGAGAGGGAGGGAGAGAGAGAGTGTTTCATGTTACAGATGGTGGGTGAAGTGATGGCGGGGCCGGCAGAGAGATGAGGGTAGAGCTCTTTGATGACAGAGCCACTGTGGGTTGCACTGGTGGTTCAGTTACTCCATGGGAAATGAACAGCAAGAGGGGACACGTGGAATACCAAAACATAGTGCTGCTAACATGTGTTCATGTTCCATGATATGACTGATCCAGATTCCACACACATAGCCACACACACAGTTAAATAATCCCTGTGTTATCCTGCATCCCTGTATTCCAAAGACTGTCATCCTTGTCTTCATCCCACCCTCATAATGCATTTTTTCTTTAACTCCCTGAACTCTTCTCCCCATCAT